TCGACTGCCCTTCTTGTATATTGCCACTATAATCGATTCATTAGTGTAAGCCTGGGGATTCTCTTCCTTCCAGGTTTGTTCGAATACGAAGATCAGTGTTTGGTAGAGGAAGTCATCTCCATCCTTAGAGTAGGTGGCAGGGAATCCGGGTCAGAAGCACGAAAACGATTGAGGGCTGTGATCGCGTTTCGGACCTCGGCCTCCGACGGAGGCTCTAATCCAGCCGTCCATGGCTCATCCTGCATCATTTGAGTAGGAAGAGGCCCAGAAGCAGGGGGCCAACCGAACTGGTCTTGAAAGTGTTTCGCCCAACGAACCATACGGCGCTCCTTATTGTGTAGCAGAGCACCCGCGCGGTCTCTGATTGTCCTACTGACGCCTGATTTCCTGGGGGCGGTGGTTTGGATCAGCTGGAAGAGTTTGCGGTAATTGTCTATTGCTCCCACCTCTTCCATTTCTTGAGCTCTACTGGTCCACCAGACTTCCTTATCAGCACGCAGGCTCCGCTTTAGTTAGCGCCTAATAGTCCGTCTGGTCAGATTGTGCTCAGATTCGGTTGGCAGGATCCTTCTGGATTCCAACAGGTTCACCGATCTCTCGGATATCCAGTGACTGGTGCGGTGACCGTTGATAGTGCCACAAGCAGATGCTCCTGCGTAGTGCATGGCTGCCGAGATCCTACTCCACTGAAGCTCAGTGTCATTAGAACAAGACAGCGAAAGTTCGGTATGCAGTGCGTCCCGATAGGATTGCCTGACCGAGGGCTGAGACAATTTCTCAGTTGCCAATCGTACGGGACGCTTGGTGCGCCTCCTGGTAAAGTTCATGGAGAAACGACAGCGTACCAAGGCATGATCAGAGTCGACAATGGTACTCCAGTACGAGCGGCAATCCAGATTGGAACCACGCCATCTGTAACTTATGGCTATGTGGTCAATTTAGGTCCATCGTTGGCTAGCTGCAGGAGGACGTCAAGTGGCACTTCTGCGCCCACTGTGTCTAAAAGCGGTGATACTAAGAAACAACTGGTGCTTCACACACAGTTGCAAGAGACGCTCGCCGTTGCCAGTCCATTTGGAGCTAAGCCCATAATTACTACCTAGCTGAGCTTCTGAAGAGCTCAGACGCCTTATTTGGGCGTTCATAACCCCTACAAGTACTATGACATCTGAACTAGTAGCACTGCGTAGTAGTGCATTCAGTTCGTGATAGAATGTGTCCTTGGCAGCATCAGAACTGCAGTCGGTGGAATCATAAGCGGAAATCACAAACAAGCAGCGTTTTGTACTACTTCGTGAATCAACCTAAGCTGATGTCGTCAAACGGGATGTACATAAACGGCTGTTCACCGGAATTCAAACAACCAACGATGGCCCAGCCTTGGAGCTGATATCTACCCCAGCTTGACCTGTGAGTGCAGCATTAGGGTCTCCGGATGCGTGCAACCAATAACATGAGGATAAGCCAGGCGCAGTTAATTCAACAACCCATTAGGGTCATTGATCCTAGTTTCGACACATATGTCAATAGCCAGTGTCCAATATGCGAGTGCAGTCTGCTGACCTATTTGCCTTAAACTGCGAACGTTGAACGTCACCAGGGAAACAGGACATGGCCTAATAAGGGGCTGTTGCCGATAGGCATC